GTAAAACGGCCGGGCGCTCGCACCGAAATAGGGACATGCGCGGCTCAAACAAACTGAATATGACATACTTACGTTTGTTTATGTGAATGTGATCATGTGCATGATGTTGACATAAAAGAGAGACCAGCATCTTGGAATTGTCTCCCTCCACTTTGTCAGTACAGTTGCGCCGACTTTGATAAAGAAAAAGTGAGCCACAATCGTTTGAAGATTGCAAATACAAAAATAATAACACCAAATGTGAAGAACACATTTTACACCTGCTTAATTCACAAAGAGAGAGGCCCCTATCATGTAAATATGGTGGGTGCCTTTTAGATTTTCCAACAGCCAGGAAGTTATCAATACTTTTATATCGAATTTAAAGTGAAATGCAATAAACGAAAGCATTATTTCAGGTTTTCCCTCTATTTTCATTAGCGATCGGCACCATCATGAGAAATCGATCCACGACCAAGTTCAAAATTTCAATCTTAATGGTCGTCTGCCTTTGTAGTCTTGGTATTCAGTATTTTCTCTAGTTGGCGCTGAGAGCGCGGTACTTCTGGGTTTATTCGTCGCATCGGGTCATGCTATACCTTTTTGGAAAGCTCATTTCACGCGCGTTTGATTGATTGTCATTTCTTTTGAGTCGTTCGTGAGTTATAGCGTCGCAAAGATGGAGCAAAATAAAGCGAAAATACGGCATATTTTACAATACCAATAAAATTTGTGCAGTTTATGGACCCGATACAGTTTCCATTTCCACCGCACAACGAGGTTTCAACGTTTTCGTTCTGGTGTAGAGGTGGTCGAAGATGCGCCACGCTCCGGAAGGCCTGTCGTCGAAAATTGCGATAAAATCGCTGAATTGGTCAAAAGAGACCGGCATAGTAGCAGCCATAGCATCGGTCAAGAGCTGGACATGAGTCATCAAAAAAAATTTTAAAAACAATTGAAAATTCAATAAAAATACTGCAAAAATACCGCAAGACTTTTTTCACAACCTAATATATACTGAGTCTGCATGAATTTATTACATATAATATTGGGTAGTCGAAAAATTATTTTCGTATTTTGGCACTCTGGTCGACATATCGTTGCAAAAGAAGATGAAATTATGGAAAAGATTGACCAGGACCGCCACATAAGCAGCCGTAACATTGCTACTTAACATTAATCATCAAACGGCTTTGAACCATTTGAAAAAGGCTGGCTACAAAAAGAAGCTCAATGTTTGGAAACCGCATAAATTGTCGGTGAAAAATTTAATAGACCAAATTAACATCTTCGATTCTTTGCTGAAACGAAATGAAATCGAACCAGTTTTGAAGCGATTGGTAATAGGAAACGAAATGTGGATCAAATACTACAATAATGTGCGAAAAAGATTATGGTCCAAGCGTGGTGAAGCTCAGCAAATAGTCTCAAAGCCAAGTTTGAGGTCTCGAAAGGTTATGCTGAGTATTTGGTAGGGTTGGAAAGGAGTCATCCACTATGAGTTGCTCCAGCCTAGTTAAGCGATTGATTCTACATTTTACTGTCGAAACCGATGAAATTGAAACAAGCAACAGACAAAAATGGCCAGAAGTGATTAACAAAAAGGGCTTCGTCTTCCATCAGGACAACGCTAGACCACGCACATCTTTGATGACTCGGCAATACCTGGGAGAGCTTAGTTGCGAAATTTTGATGCATCCATCATATAGCCATCATTGAAAACTATAAACCGGAAGTACGGCGGCATCTCCTTAATTGAATGGAGATCCGAACACTTCACCATCCACAAACCGCACAAATGCAGGGATGCATGATTGCTGTGTGTAAAGTTATGAGAGGAATTTTTTTCATTAGGTAACCAGCAAAACCCCAAAGGTGAATTACATAACTCACAATGAATATTAAATAATATTAAATTGCTGATAATCAAGACATTTAGCATATTGAAATTGTATAAACTGTGATGTTGCCAAAGACGAGACGCCAAAACACCAGTCTCTTTTCATTTGAATATGCAAATCTGACAACAATAACAATCGATGCTCGTACATGCGACGACATCCAATTATGCGATAATCCACCACAAGACTTGCCAACAACAAAACTGTTATGATACTCACACGACATTTTTGGTGGACAGCAAAGCTTGGCCATTCGTAAAAACTGTATTTTATCATTAACGAGTGCGATGACTTAACGGGATTAACGATGTATGTACACTCGTCTGCATGAGTTTTTACTTTTCATATTTATTAATACTCACCGAAGTAATAATAGCACTCGGCCGCCAAAAGCGAAGTGTGTGAGTGACAACACAAATACTATAGAGGGGCGACAACCGCCGCTTTATCGACTTTTGGCGCGAATGAAAGCATAACGGTGTTAGCACTAAGGAAGTACAGGAATTTATACCTGCTAATCGACAAAAATATTTTTTTATATATATGTATATTATACCCATATGTATGTGTGAGTGTGTACGCTGCAGTTATAGACTACTTCACAACTATTCAGCTGAGCGACTGAAAACCTGACGCTTGGGCCTGCCGTTGTCGCGAAGTCAATGGTCCGACGTGCGCCAGAAATTAGAAAGAGGTTTCAAGTTTCAAAATCAACAAACAAAAAGTGGTTCAATTATAGTAAAATTTTTGAGCACTTAAAGAAACACAACAAAATGTTCAAAATATGTTTCTCTTTTTGTACTTAACCAACGGAATCGATCGTTGAGTAACGCATTAATAAATCGTTCACTAATTAGAATAAAGTCGATCGTTTCGGACTAGTATATTTTCAGCTTTAACTGACTTAACTGGCATTTTCTTAGGGTCGGTTGTTCGAAAAAATATTATAAAAAAATTAGACAAAACAAAAAGTTGTTCCAAAAAGTTAAGCCCGCGATTGCAGAGTTGTTGTTGTTTGACTGATTTGCAATATGGAATTTACGCGCATTCCCTTGCAAAGTGACCGCCAGTTGCAGTCACCACCCGTGTTTGTAGTTCGATACATCGATACGCCATAAACGATCTGTTTCCTCTGACAAGCACATGTCGGTTTTTTACCTACCCTGTAGAAAATTGATTAGCAGTAAGCTTCTAATCGTACAAAGACGAGGAAAATATCCAAATCACAAGTCTAAATCTAAATTTTGTCATGCTGACCTCCAAAACGAAAGAAACCCACATATTTGAATCATTAATCTTTGACTTCCTTTAAGCTTGTTAAGAAGCTGTTGTTAGATGCCAACCTCAGTCGGATTTTCTTGCCTTTCTGCCTGTCTTTTTTGGTATTTGTTATAATCAACCAAAGCATTGAGTTGGGCAAAGTAAGTTTCGTTTGGTAACCAAGCCCAAACCAAAATGTCATTCACTCATGATTTCCTACTGGGAATCTGCAGCAACTACAAGTGTTTTTGCAGCAAAGGTTTGCCTGCAATACGTTATTGGCAATTTGTCAGCAGCAGCACGGCCGATTGCTGTTTTGTAGTTTTCCTGTGTTTGCTTTTGTTTTTGTTTTTGATCGATAAAAATGTATTTATTAGTTATACCATAAATTTTGAGTGGAGCTGCGTGTTTTTCACTTAGTTGCCGTCGATTTCCTTGACTTGATCGATGGATTGAGCGAGCGATTTGTCCACCATGTGACTGTGGCGAACTGATTTTCGTCTCCACTTGTGGCAAATCGGTGGCTCGAGCATCAAATTTCAGTGCATGCAAGCCGTCTATCGCCAAAGTGGTCATGTATTTATGTATGTGATCCTCTTGGTAGTCGCTTTGAAACACTTTTGTAAAATTCATCCAATTCAATGTTTGTTTGACTGACACGCGCCCGATTGTTTTTGGTGTAATTCGCTGTGGGTTTTGTGGCTGCCACTTTAATGCGTTTTCTTTCTATATTTCTGAGCTTTATTAATAACTTTCGTTGAATTAAGCATTGATGTAATGTGTTTTTAATGGGGTTTTGAGTGCTGATAAATAGGAGATTGCCTTCGTGTACGATTCTCTATTCATAACCATCGAGCCGCGGCTATCCAATTCAAATCTCTTTCTAATTAGACTAACTTTTAGCAGCGATTAAAAGAAACGACATGAGAAGATACTTCAAATGAAGAGAAACTCTGGGAAAATGTCGTTTCCGTAGCACAAATACTCGCATAACGGCGTTTCTAATTACTTCATCATAGTTGTATCTGAATCACAGTTGCGTTTACTGATATACCAATATTTCAATTTCTTCCGATTTTCATAAGACCATGACAGAGATAACTTACCAATGGAGCAAGGTCCACATTTTGCGCAAAGTAGGATTCGGTTAATTAACATGGGAGAAGTTCTGAAATAGGACTGTCACCAATTGTCAGAAAAAACCGCATACCTATTAGACCTATTTGATCTTATTTTTGCCACCTACTTACCATGGATGAAATATTGAATTCCATGACATATCAAAAACTTAGAATATATTACTTCTTCTGATGCGTGACGACTTTGATAAAAATTATCTGAAATTGGACCCTACAGGGTTTGTCCGGACAGGACTGTTTTTCGTACACGACCGTACTTCTAAGCATTCACCGACTGGGTTCGGTAGAACGCGCTTGCTAACGAACGCTCGACTGGTCAGTTGTCTCGGAGCACTTGGAGAATCAGGACAAACATTTTCGCGCGACGTGTTTCTGTGAGTGGTGCAAGCCGAAATTCAGTGGAGTTAAAGCAGAGATACGTGAAAAAGTCTGTAATCGGCAACAGAGGCGTTTGATATGATTAAGAAGTGGTGGCCATGTTGGAGGGCCGGGTAGAGGTCGCTGATGAAGACCGCAAAAATGAGCAAATGAACACGATATCCATTGTGTTTTTTGACATCAAAGGCATCGCCCACCATGAATTGGTTCTTCCTGGACAAACCGTCAACGCGTGAAAATCGTCAAGAGACTCTTGTTAAAGTCAGGCCTGACAAGATATCTCAGCCTATTGGACGTTGCACTACAACAACGCCCCGGCCCACACCGCCTTTCTTGTGAACAGCTACCAAGGCCTTGATCCCACCGCTTCCGCAGCGGCTTTACAGCCCAGATGTAGCCCCGGACTGTTTTCATTTCCTTGCTCGGCTCTCAAGGCTATACCGGAGAATGCCTTCTATTTTGAAGGAATTGCAACGATTGGTTCGATAAATTTTTTTAAATCGATTCAATCCTACTAATTTCCGGATAAATCCGGCACGTTTTGCGAGCCACCGTAAATCGAATATGAGGATCTTCATGCTTTAAGTTTTATTGCGACTACTTATATATTTTGGTATACCGGTGAAATAAGGTGAACCTATTCTCTAAATCATAGAATAGCAAAGCGTAATGTAATTCGCTGCCTGAATTGCATAACCTCTGCCCATATGTGATGTACATATATGACATATGTATGTGCATTGATTGTGTTGAAAACCCATTGTGAACTCACGATAAAGCTCTTCAATAATGATTTTTTCCAACGCCTCGTTCTATGAGAAAAATCCCAACCGCCACACACATTCCTACCCCATACAGCCACCATATCCAATAGAGATTCCCCAAGGTTAGACTGTGCTCCAGGTTGTAAGGCGTCGAGATCGTTTTATTGAGCTTTCCTGCTGCCACCATATCGCCATAAGCCAGCTTTTCCCAATACTCCACGAGTCCGGCGCTTATTAAATTTTGGATCAGCGCATTCAGTTTGTCACGGTATATGGAATGTGGGCTCAAGGGTATGCCCATTTGTAAGTTTTTAGCCAAGATCATCTGATCGCTAATGTAGAACAAGCTTACACCCAATCTTCTTTGATACTCCACAAACGTCTTCCACAACGATTGCGGAACGGTATAGCCAAAATGGGTGTTCAGAGTTTTACGCTCATAATAGTAATCATTTATGGATGGTGTGATCAGGAATACACTCGTATACTTCTCCAAAAATCGAGGGCCAACGAAATCTTCGAGTGCATTGTATTCGGCTAAGGAAATTTTAATGCGTGTCGGCACACAAAGCAACTCGTCAAACGTGTTGACCCGCTGAAGTTTGGGACTGCTTGTGAGATATGTTTGCAAGTAGCTAGTACTGATGGTGCTCACATAAATACCGGCCACAAATAGTAGACTACATATGAAGCGTTTCGTGAATGCGGCGGTGATGTGTACGTGTGTAGGCTGACCCAGCATGCTGCGCAAAGAGACATTTGTAAGCGTAAACAGAAAGAGTCGGCACGCGTTGCTGCATGTACGACGATTGTGACGCCAACGCATGCTCTCGCAAGTGAGCAGACAAGAGAAGATCAGCAACAAAAGCAATAGAATAAGGCCGATAACCGATGTAAATATGAGCACATAAATGTCCCTTATCGGTCGCTTCGGTGGGCGCGGTAACATCGTTGCCCAAAACATAGAGATCACCGGCGCTGATACCTGCGACGCATTCAACTTCCAACCAATTCCGGTCAAGCCCATCAAAAAGTCGATCGTTTCGTTCTGCAACATACTGAATATCACGTCGTACTCATAGGTGCAGCAAAGGCCTCAATCACTTTAACCATATAGCCACCTACTTGCAGACGACCCCAGCGATCGCGCCACACAATTGACCTCGGCTCATTTTGATCGGGAAGCGTGCGTAAAGCGGTGCCCTGCATGTCCTTTAAACGATTGGGAAAGCAAGCGTTCTGCATCTGCTTGCGTTCCAAATGGAAACTCGGGAAGTAGCTGTAGGTGTAGTAGTGGCCCTCAGATTCGAAATCACTGTATACGCTTATAACATTTAGTAACTTCGTGCTTGCGCAGTACATGAAAAGTTTCCGCAATTGCTGTTGCAGCTCGTTGCGCCTTCCCGGCGACGCTTTGACGTAATTGACGTTCCATATGAAGACGATTCGTACATCGCGCACCACTCCGAGGCTTCTGACCATCAGATTCAACAGATGTGGCTGGATCGGCTCAGCGACGCAACGCGCTACCAGCAATTCGCTGTTGACATCGGCTCCTTGCAGCTGCCAGCTGGATGTGGCATTCAATAGTATAACGGTGATATTTGAGCGATGAAGTGAGCGCAGAGTATCGTCGCCCAAACAGGATTGCTGGTCGTGGAAGGCCTTAAACATCACCACCGTTTCGATGGCACGCTCCATGCGAATTTTCTCAATGAGCTTGGAGAAATTAGCGAATTCCACATTTTCATGTCCTCTTATTATTGGATGAGCGTTGGCTGTATAAAAGAGAGTCAGAAGTATGCACAGTAGTTTGCTTGTGCACCACATTTGGATACAATCTTTCTACAGAATAGCACAAAATTCGATTGCAAAGCTCTTCACCATTTTCAGTGTCTAATTAGTTGAGTATCGATTCGTCTGACTAAAATTTGAGTCAGTCAGCCGCAAAAAGTGCAAAGATTTTATCGAATCGAACTAGTGAGTAATAACATATCATTAGTTGAGGGCAGAAGTAAAAGAATTTACTCCCAAATCGAACGGACTAAAAATTATTAAAAAGCAATTATCTGGATATTTACTATATACTTACACCTGGCCTCAATAATACTGAAAGCAAGACGTACTCGCTATACCATTAAGAGTAAAGCAGAAGAACATTATAGGGGTCCAGTAAAACTGAAATATATCCCAACTTAAAAGAGCTATATTCATCTTAAGTTTAGAGATGAAATAGGTTTGGAAATGTTCTTTTAAGACTTTATAAACATTGTGACAAAAAATGTAAAGGAGATTGTTTTTTAAACTCCACGGGTAAGTGATATATCAAAAACATGCATTGCGATTTTTACAATATATAAAGATATCGAGGAAAGAATTTGTCTCAAATTTTGTTTTTCTAATCAAATTTCGTGAGCGGAATCATCGCAAGTGTGGGAAATGGCTACGGTGATACAATTTTATCAAAAGCGCAAGCCTACGGGTGGTACAAAGCCTTCAAAGACGGCCAAGAGATCGTTGAAGACATGCCTCGTTCTGGACGACCTTCGGCCTATTGAACTGATGGAAATATTAAGAAATTGAAGAATATGGTGTTTGTAAACCATCAGATGTGTTAGAGAGATGGCAAAAGAACTCTACATATACCGCGAGTCTGCTTGAATGATTTCTTGTTTGACTCGTCCCAATAAAACTGAATTAAAAAAAATTACCTAAACAGGTCTCTTTGGACATGCTTGATCGTGCGAATTCCGACCTCACGTTCATGGAGGACATTATAACTTCCGATGGGAGATGGGTTTAAGTCAACAGTCATCGGAATTGAGAGAAAAAATGAGCAGAATCCAAAAAACCACATCAAAGCCCGCTCAGAAATTAATGTGGTTCTCATTGTTTTTTTTCGATATTCATGGTTTGCTGCATCATGAATTTGTTATGGAGGCACAGGCGGTTAATATGGTGTTCTATTGTTCGTATTGAGGCGTTTACGGGAGAATATCGGTCGAAAACGGCCGGAATTGTGGAAGAACGATCCAAGAATTTTACCGATGATAATACACCATGTCATCGAGCCGCGATTGTGACCGAATTTAAAGCCAAGAACACTGTGCATTTTTTCTTGTTCCCCTAACTGAATTTGTCGCTCCGTGGAACCCTTTTTAAGTCGATCGAAAAAATAAAACAAAATTAGCAGAAGGAGCTGAAGGCCATCCCAAAAATTGCAAATGAAAATTGACTCGAGGACTGGAAAAATCGTTGGTATAAGTGTGTTACATTTGGTGGGGAGTGCTTTGAGGGCGACAAAATAAATATTTATGAATAATTAAATATTTTTCGTTTTATTTAGAACTTCCGGATACTTTTTTGTGTACGAAATCCACAAAACCAGATCTTGGAATTTAGTTACACTTACAATTTTTCCATAGATACTTGTAGATACAGGGCAGCGGACAAGGTGAACCAAACTTCTTTGTTCTTTTTAAATATTTCTTTTCACCGAATTAGATGGAAGACCGTGTTTCTTTCTCCAAATTTCCTTTCCTTTCTTTCTCCAATATTCCTCTTAGGAATATTTTAAGTAACTTTTTTGTGTCTGAGTGGAACTAGATCTTGACACATAACTAATGAAAAAAATTAATTACTGTAAATGATTTACGGTAAATGTAGTTATAAGTACCAAGAGCAACCTGGGCAGAATTCAATTACCTAAAAGTACACCTGAGCCTCACATACGATGATGTATAGTACATATCTTGATGTGTATCTTGATGATATGGTATTACGGTAAACTACAATTTAAACAAGCGTTCCAAAATGCGCGTCGTTAATCAAAGTAGAGCAGACAAAGGAGAACCGAAGAAACCCCCGACAAGAACTAAGATGATTAAACTTACGTGCGCTAATACATTTAAAGGAGGGCTTAAATTCGGGCAAAACCAAAAAATATTCTCTAGACTGTTGGCCTTTTAATAAAAAAAATCATTTAATTCCAATAACAAGAACTTTCATTTTCGTCAGTGTTTATCTGTGTAATCCGGACTCTTACGGTTGTGTGGTAACTCCATTGGAAAAAAAAAGTGTAAAACAAAATACCTTAACGAACGTGCGTTGGGACCAAGTTCGACCCTTAACATTTTTACACCCTGAACATGGTATATTGAGTTTGCCACAATGTTTGTAACATCCAAAATGAAAGCGTCGGAGACCCTATAAAAATATCGATTTGTCATGTCCGCCTGTCTGTGTATACATTCCATTTGTCGGAATTACCGATATCGGATCCCTATAGCATATAGCTGGCATATAAGCTGAACTATGAGAATCAAGTGCTTGTATGGTAAACTTTTTTCATTTGACGAGGTGTCTTCACGAAATTCGGAAGACAGTAATGTAAGTTTCGAAGAAATTGTTCATATCGGATCCCAATAGCATACAACTGCAATACAAACTAAGCAATTGAAATCAAGTTATTCGAAGGAATCTTTTATATTTGTGAAGGGTATTATAGCTTCGGTGCAACCGAAGTTAACATTTTTTCTTGTTTTCTTTGAATTCCTTTGATTTGTTGTAACAAATTCATAAATATGAACATTTTCGAATGAGTTCGGTTTTAGTCTTGTTCGAGCACTCTCAGACCAAATACACAAAACAATGTTAACTGTTAGTCGATTTCTGCTAATTTGTAATTTTGCACTGATTACTGGTTATCCATCACTTCAATGGAAGTGTCAGCAGCAAATAAATGGGTCGGACCTTAAGGAAATCACAAATAAAATTAATTTGCAGCGAAAAATTTACGTATTCGTCATTATTAACGCTTACAAGAGAGAGAGATTAAGTGCTAATAATACCATTAAATTAATGATGGCACAAAGCCAATGTTCGAGCGCCTTGGAACCTTTAAATGATGAAAAAATTTTGATCCGCTCTCTACCGGAGTATTATTCACTCGAAATATTGGATCCAATGGTCAACTGCCTTGAAAATAAACGCAATACTCGCATACTTTTTATTTGGAGTGAGGAATATACCGGCGCATCGAGTGAGAGGCGGCTACAGTTACAGGAACAGCAAAACTGCTCTTCGAATATTGCGCTGAAATGCGTCTGGTGAATGTAATTTACCGGGACTACTTGAAAGACGGACACTTCTACACGTTCAGCTATTTCCCGGAGTTTCATCTTCAACGGAAAAGAATGGATGAGGATTGCTTCCCAAACCGAATAATCGACTTAGAAGGTGTCACCATACGAATGGCTCCCGATCAGTCAGAGCCATGGAGACTTGTGTGGCAAGATCGTAATGGTGATATACAGATCGGCGGTTTCTTGACGCGATTTGTGCGGGAGTTCGCTAAACGAAATAACGGTACGGTTACATGGCAGTCACGCCAGAAAGGGCTCCCACGTTAGCAGAACTGATGTTATTGCAAAATAACTCAATCGACATAGTGGCTGGCACAAGGATGTATCGACGGTTATATTGTCTATAGATTGGATAATTATGCTGCCCCTGCCCGCACAAATACCAGATAGCGAAATATTTTTGACGCTCTCAATTCATCATTGGGCTTGTTTCTGTTCATACTGCTCTTTGTGTTTTCTCTTGTACTCACCGTGAAGGCTCTGCTCTTGCAACGGCGTAGCCGAAAACTTACTCTTCTTCTTTTGGATACTGACTAATGTGGTATTACGCAGTATTATCGGACAGCCGACGTCTTCAAAAGTTGGTGTTTCAGCAAAATTAATTAAACGTTTCTTATATATGACGCTTTCCTTGAGCGGTATTTTCATGAGCACCTTGATATCTGCAGGCCTACAATCGTATCTGACTAGTCCCGTTCGATATCCCCTAATCAACACTTTCGAAGAATTCCTAAAGTCCGATATAACTATCAAAACAAGCCAAGATGGCTACAAGACTCTCGATTTATATGTGAGTAGACGAAACCTGAATATAGTAAAAAATTAATAAATAATAATAATAAATCATTTTATTTCTTCGAGTTCGCTGGAGAAACTGCAAAGGCAGCGTACATATTTAGATACCCGTTACGATTACACAATGTTCAGTAATCTTTGGGATGTCTTGGCCAGATATCAGACTTATTTGCCACAACCGCTATTTTATGTGAGCAAACAACTTTTTATAACTAAAGGAATGCCGCTAGTTATGCCGCTGCAGAGACACTCGATTTACAAAGAAGCTTTCAATCTAATGATAAACCGATTACATTCAGTCGGACTGACTGACCTTTGGAAAAGGCAGGTGTATGAGGATATGATAGTGGCAAAGAAATTGAATACCTTATATCGGATGGAGGGTGTGCGAAATATAAAACTAGATTTGGAGGACTTTTACTGGTTGTGGTGGTTCTATGGAATTGGAATAGGTATATCAACCCTGGTATTTTTCACGGAGCTTTGTTATTACAAGAGAACAATAAAAGTGGCGCAAAAAGAGGAGAAGTTATCAAGAAAAAGAGCGGTAAGACGGTGGGCGAAAAGAGGGAATCCAGTTCAATTATGCTCGCCTCCGCACCATCTACATACACATATTCGACCCAATTATAAATATGTGCCTAGCTTTAATTCATAGAGCAAAATTTCACTGAGAAAATATAATAAAATATTTTCTAAAAAATTTAAAAAAAACTTCGTAGAAACTCTTTTATAATAAATTACTACTTGTTCAACATGAATTTAAGCTAAAATTTCGGAAAAAACTCTTAAATATTTTTTTATTGTGTAATCATGCAGTCAGATATGCATGGATACATCTGTGTTTGAAAAGGTTGATGATTATTCGCTCTCCACTTTTCTGCTTAGCTAGATTCTTTTTTACCGCTCTGTCATAACACCAAAGTTCAGCAAAGAACACCAGAATTGATAGACTTACACCGACGCCATACAACCACCACAGCCAGTAGAAGCTGCTTAAGTCCAAACTTTCGCTTCTCACATCGTTTACTGGATTAGTGGTGTTCAGTTTTTTTGCCGCGACCATATCGTCGTACATTTGGGCGGTCCATAAGTCCAGCAAGCCCACGCTTTGTATTTCATTGATCACATTATTGAGCGCATCCGTATAAATTGAATTCTTCTGCAATGGTATTGCCTTCGGAGTCCCCTTACTTAGATATATATCGTTATTCACATAAAAAAGCGGTCGCTGCAAGTGAGATTGATACTTGCTCATCACAGACAACATTGGGCTGAGTACTGTGAAAGCATACCTTGGATCCAATATTGATCGTTGCCGTTGGATTACTTCAAATGAAGGCTCAATGATATTTCGGGGGAAGCAAGCCATACTCATATTTGCTCATTTTTACTTTTATTCGCGAGTAGTACAGCTCATCGAATTTCTTTATACGCGGATAGCGTAGACTGCTAGTCAGATATGATTGAAGACTTGTAGATATCAATGTACTCATAAAAATGCCACTTAAGTAGAGAGTTATAAACAAGAAGCGCTTCCAGAATCTCGCTGAAAGTTCTACTCGAACGTACGACGGTTGGCCAATTATTCCTCGAAACACTACGTTGATGAGTGTCCAAAGGAACAAGAGATGACTTTCGGTTGACGTCCGGCATTGCAAAGTCAAACTCTCAAAGGTGAATACGGAAGAATATATAAAGAGTAAGCTGAGAAGTAATAGGCCCAAAACTGAATTGAGGAGGAGCACAAAGATTTCGCTGTCGGGTATTCGTGATGGCATAGGCAGCATAATCGTCCAATCCACTAATAGTACAGCGGCGCTTATGTCTATAAAGCTGTTTGTATCGCCCGCAAACGCAATTCCACTTACTATAGCAATTGTATCACTTCGTAAAAGAGTAATCATTGTTCCCATTTCTATAAAGTTATCTGTTACCACAGGCAATGGATAAGAAAGTTATTCTGTTTAGCAAACTCTCGCAAGATTTTAGTAAAAAAGCTACTGATCTGTATATAACCATTCCGATCACGCCACACAATAGTCCAAGGCTCCAACTGATCAGGCAGAGTTCGTAAAACAATGCCTTTTAAGTTCCTTATGCGGTTTGGGAAGCAATCCTCGTCCATTCCTTTTCGTTCCAGATGAAACTTTGGAAAATAGGTGAACGTGTAGAAGTGTCCGTCTTTCAAGTAGTCCCGGTAAATGGCGATTACATTCAGCAAACGCATTTGAGCGCAATATTCGAAGAGCAGTTGTTGCTGTTTATGCAATTGCACACGCTTCCTACTCGTTGCGTCCGAATGCTCCTCATTCCAAATGAAAAACATTCGAGCAGTTCGCCTATTTTGAAGGAGATTGAGCATTGCTTGCAAAAACTTTGCAGAAAATCTCTCCGGTAGGCAGCGGATTAAAAGCAGTTCGCTGCTGTCTCGCTTGGAAGATGAGCTAGAGTTGCCCGCATTCAATAGCTTAACGGTCGTGTTAGTGCTAACTATTTTAATATCCACATCACAGAGGCAGCTGAGCTGGGATTTGTAGGCGTTCATGACGATAACTGTGCTAACTTTCCACTCCAAATCAATTTTCCTCAGAATATAACTTATACTTAAGGCATTTGAAGAGTTCCAATTCAAAGTTGGATAACCCATCAGCAGTGGCAAACTGTAAAGTAACAGTATATTGCCGGAAGTTAACATTTCCGCTTCAAAACACTCTCTGAGAACGAACTTAAAAGACTGATTAAAGCTTTATTGTTTCTCTGTATTTTATACAATGCTGCATTTAAGGCCTTCGATTAGTTTCAATTTCCTAATGGATTACAGGAACTAATAGAAAAGTTGTATTATGAAATTAATATGGTGAACGCTGTTATCCATCAAAAATAAATGCATAAGTATCGGTTAAGAGTGTCATCAAAGCGTAAGGAGGCAAGCGCGCGGCTTGATTGATTAAGCCAGGCAATGATTTGTGACACCAAATATATCACTGAAGGGGTTACTGGCGATGGAAGTGAGCCGACAGGATATTTATAGCCAATTTGAGGAGTTATTTGCATTAAAAATAACAATTGAATGCCATTTGTAAGGATTCTCCCAGAAAGCATAATTATGTGTATTCATTATGTGTTATTTTGTTTTTTGTAAAAGTGTTCTAAAACTCAACTTCTTCATAGTTACAGGTCTTAGTACATCTTGAAACTGCCTGCACCAAAGTACCCTCAGCAATTATCCACAGCATCTTAGTAGATGGGATCTATGATATGAGTTCTCAGCTGAAATAAGTCGGTCCTTGATGGGAATGTAGTAGATCGGTGGCAACTCCGCAAGACAATGAGGACAAAAGCAAGGATCAGTCGTTAAGCTGATCTCATCGGCGGAAGGTGTTTCTTGTGTATTTTTAATCTAATATTTTTGGTATTTTGTGAAATTAAATTTAATGATATATAATCGTGTGGAAGATCGGAATACACCACCTCTTTGTCAATTTTAAAGGCGCCTTCGACAGCACGAAAAAGGAACTAGTTATATGCCGCTATGACTGAACTTGATATCTCCGCAAAGCTAATACGGCTGTATAAGCTGACTTCCGTCAGAATCGGGAAGGACCTCTCCCAGCTCCGAGATAAGACGACTCCCCTCTAGCATCTTCTTTAATCTATCTATAAGAGCGTACAGCTGCTGGCGTACGCCGATCATATTGATATCATTGGTCTCAACAACCGCACCGTTAGTTCTTTCTCTAGAATGGATAAGGAAGCGATTAAATGGGTCTGCTAGTGAACAAGGGCAAGAGGAAATATCTCCTGTGATCAAACAAAGACCAAGTAGAGAAAGACCTGGCTTCGCTTGGAATTTTCAATTGATAGACACCACTTTCTAGATTTGACGAAGTGTGTCAAAAAAGGTGTTGGCAGTAAACATATTATTGGCTTAAATTGAAAGCCAATTTAGAACTAAGTTATATGATAATTCTAGTGGCGTTCCTCATTAATTTACTTGCCATAATTCTCCCTCCATATTTTATTTAGCGTGGGATACAACATGTGTTCAAAACAAGCAAGCAAATGTATCATTCTCAAAATGAAAGGCTGGCGGGAATGCCAAACACAGGGTAGGCTGGAAAAACCAACTGTGATTAAATTCCCCCGACTGTCTGTATACTGCTTATGGGTGAATTAGCAATTCAAACCCTTTTCAAAACCCGAAATTTCCAAAATAATAAATTTTTCTCAGTTTCGTTTGCTTAGCCGTTTTCCCGCTGTCGCGATTATAGGGGTAATTGGCCTTATTAAGGTCTCATGATCACTTCCCTAATCTATGGCAACGCCTGTTGCACTACAAAATCTTGTTGGCAGCGGTATTCCTGGAATGAAGAAGTCACGTTTTTGTTAATCCGCCTTCCGTGAGAGAAATCCATTAATTTTTATTATTAATTACTATTATTATTAATATAATTATTAATGGCACATGTTGTGTTCTGCGCACACATGAGCGATTTGTAGAACTAAATGTGACCTTACAGTCATGAGACTTAGCAGTACTTGTCTGGACAACAGCCAAATATGTTGTGTCTACTTCTATTGCTCTCACTTCAGCTTTCAAACTGCGTAACTCACGCAAAGCTCTGGCATCTGGCAGAAGAAGCGGTTTCTAGGGGTGCTTTTGTGAACGCACTCCTTCGAATCTATGAAGAGAACGCTTTTGATACAATGCTTGTATTGGGAGAAGCATCAAAGCCTTGCTTTTCTGTAAGCGAAATAGAAGAGGAAACGCAAGTACCTCTAATCATTGCCACAGTTAGCGCTTCGGAGGACAAGTTAAAGGACCGCTTCAATAGCAACCTCATCGTCATTGTGTGCTTGCCCGCAAACCCTCTAGATCTTCAATTACTCAAAGTTTTGGCAGCCAAATTGCACCGTAGCCGTCAGACGCGTATTATTCTACTGTTTGGAACAGCAAAACCTACAGCGAGTTTGCTGGACGCCTTGACTGTTTATTGGGAAGAACAGTATATCACAAATGTTATTGGTTTCAACGATTTGCAGTCGTACTTCTATCGTTATTATCCATTTCCCAACGGACATTGGAGACGCGAGCTTTTGAATAGCTCCAATTTCTACTTTCTACCTCACCAAAGAGATCTGCAGGGAAAACCTTTCCTTACCTTACCGGGGCAAATTGCACCCCGCTGCCTAATTTATGTGGATTCAGCCGGTCAACAGCACCTGAGCGGCTATGTTGGGCTCCTGCTGCTCACCTTTGCAGAAAAATACAATATTACCTTGCAGTACCGGTATCCAGTAATTCCAGGAGAAATACTACATTTAACGGTTCTGTTAAATTTTGTCACAAATGGTTCGCTGGACGTAGCAATCACATTGGTTCCCCTATCCTATGGTGGAAATGGCTTTTACTCATTTTTGACTTATCCGCTGGAACTGAGTGGCTGGTTTATTGTACTGCCTTGTCCTCGGCCACTATATTACTCCGAAATATACACGATCGTCATTTCAGCCCAAGTTATCGGCTTTTTGATAATACTCCATATTCTTTTCTCATTACTGGACTCTATCATTAAGCATCAATTCTACAAAAGTAGCGATGGTATCATTTGGACTGACATTTTGGTCAACGATAATATTTTTCGGGGAATTATCGGTCTCTCGTTTATCATAAAATCTCCACATCCGGTGCTATCACTGAAAACACTTTACGTGTTTCTATTTCTACTGGGCTTGTTCATCAACAACATGTACTCGGCGTACTTTCAAACTCTTTTCACCAGTCCACCTCTACAGCAGGAAATATTGACTTTCGACGATATGCGAAACCAGAATTTGAAAGTAATGTTTGATCGCAGGGAAATATCAACAGTGAAGGACTCACTTGGCTCTGATTTCAATCGGACATTCAAGGATATATTACTATTAGAGGATACTAAAATATTTCAACGCCATCGGAGAGATTATGACACCGCGTATGCCTACTCAATGCCAGAATCACTTTGGTCAATCTTCGAGGCACAACAAGAAACATTTGAGAGAAAACTGTATTGCTTAGCTCCGACGCTAAAATTTTTTGGCTTATTGTTGTTGGGCATACCTTTGGCCGAGAACTCATACATCATGGAGCTGTTGAATATGATGACCTTACGCGTCGTGGAAACTGGGCTTTTGCAGCATTGGCGTACAGTCACTTACCTAGATATGGTAACAAGTGGCCAATTGTTGAAGGTAGAATCTAAAACAACGGAAAAATTCCACAATATCAGCATCCAAGATATTCAATTGCCATTTTATTTACTGTTATGTGGTTTAAGTGTAGGCGGTGCGGTTTTCATTGCCGAGCTTTATTTATTCAAATTAAAGAACAAACCACCAATGAGAAAATAAATGCGGAAATAAACTCACAATATCTCATTATTTAGTACGCTTCAATCTTAGGCCATCGCCTAAGCTCGAATCGAACTCTTTATAATATTTTTTTTATTTACAAGTATGGACTAAGTGAAGGACCCAAAGCGGTACAAATTTATGTGAATAATTGAACGTGCACCGTTTTTGCCCGTCTATTCTAATATACGCTTAAGCTCCTTCCAACACAATGTTAAAAGCCCTGACCATCCCTGGGGCACTTATTTTGCTTAAACTTTTCCTTTAAAATTTCTGTTATGAAGCAAAGACTTCCAATGGCAATACCAAAAATATACATCAACCAAATATAATGGAGATCCTGAAAATGTAGTGGTTCATAGTGGCGCGCTATAGTCAAATCCTCCAAACTCAACTTTCCCGCCTTGATCATTTCAAACAAACTCATTGTAGTCCAGTGATGCCAGAAACCGTACGCCTGCATTTCCAATAAGTACGCGTTGAATGTGGCGCGATAGACACTATTTTCGGCCAAGGGTACTGCCAGTAAAATTTGGCGATGGAACTGCGCCTCTTCGGACACGCGAAATAGGCGTTGAGAGAAGTAGCGTTGCTGACGCTCGACCATCGCCCACATTTCCGAATGTGTGGAATACGCGAAGCCTGGGTTGAGACTCTTCCGAAGTGTGTAGAAATCCCGCAACTCGGGAAAAACGAGCAGAAGATCTCTATAGCTCAACATAAAGGACTCGGGCATGAATTTCTCAAGTACCTCATACTCTTCTAGCGGTAGCACGATTTTTATGCCACGAGCTTTTAAATCGGCGTAGCTTTTTATTTGTTCTCCCGAAGGTGGTTGACTGCTAAATGCATGTAATTGTGCGCTATAGGCAGTGCTCCATATCAGACCCTGCAGGAAAATCAGAAAATATAACAAATAAAATTTGTAATTTCGCTTACGGCGCAACTGAAACGGTAGTCCGACAACGCCACGAAAAATTTTATCATTAAAGATCACGTCATTATACGCGAATTCTTTTACACTTCCCACATGGCTTTCGTGGCCGTTGATTATGTACGTGTACAGCAATGAGAAAATAATGAAAATCGTAACATCTATTTTCAACGTATTGCTCTGAAAGATATACTTGTAGACTTGGTAACGCTCAATATAGCCCGACCGTGGCAGCATTAGCATCCAGCTGCTGATCTCCACAATGTTTGAGAACGCGTAAAGCGAATCGTTCTCGACAGGCATTTGTAAGCCAATCGGCAAATCCAATTCATAATTGCTGGTTAAGTCTGCCAGAATGGAGATTTCGATGCTCGCACCTACATTCAGTGGTGCCCTATAAGTAAGTGTGGCATTCAACTTGGCGGCGAAGGTGGAAATTAGATGGTAAACATAACCAGAACTGCGCTTTTCACCAAGCCCATCTGTATACACGATGGATCCCGGTTCGGATTGTGACGGCATGCTACGCAACTCATAACCCTGCAAGTCATTAAAACGACTCCGATAGAATATCCCAGACGATGGATAACTCTCCAAAGTGAAATTCGGAAAACGAGTGAAAGAGTTCAAACGGCCAGTTGCCTGAAAATCTCTAAACACTGCAACTACATTCAACATTTGCTGCTGGTCACAGTAAGCGAAAAGTTCTTCCAGCTCGTCCGACTGCGCTGTAGTGAAATTTTTCAGCAAGAATAATATTCTAACCTCCCGCATATGTTGCAAGCTTTCCGACATACTCTCCAGCAGATTCAAGTCCACAAAATCGTCAAGACACACGACGCTGAGCAGCGCGCGGTTGTAGTATGCATTCAAGTAGATCGTATAATTCGCGTCAAAGATAAGTTTGGCCGTGAAGTTCGCCGAACGCCAGTCAGAGAAGTCAGCAAAGCAGTCTATTGGCTTACGACGCCACAACAACAACGTGCTGAAGTCGCCTTCCCTTTGTATGGCTTCGAGCAATAGATGCGAGGAGTTTGTTGGCTCCACTTGACCGTCGATGACTGGTTTTAAAATTTCGGGTTTGGCGGTGGAGCAACCAAAATGCATATGAACGCACACTTGCAGAACAACAAATAACACAGAGTACATTTTGACTGAATTTCCAGAATGGAGCAACTAAAACATTTCCCTACGTGATATCCTTTTTATATTCATGTGCATATAGAGTAGGTAGGCGGAGATCTTCTAAAATTCAGAAGAAAAATATAGTAAAATTTTATTCAACGAGTGTTGACCAGAACGGCCATTGAAAATGACATCAATAAAATTAAATTGCAGTATAATGGCAAGTCTAGTTTGCTCTTATACAGGGTGCACACAAATTCAATGACTCTCCTCTACTCCTCTGAAGTATGCATGTATAATATTGCCATGACGGCGAGTATTATCAACATTTATTATTTCATTTGACGTCGATTTCATGTCTGACAAGATGGATCTGATACGAGTAGTTGGTGTTGGCCCCGCACATTGCTCGGTGGCAAAATATTATGACTATTTTTTATGTGAATCACTGTTTTATATATACCATACCTATATGTAAATAGTATAATCGCGCATTCGTTTCGAACTGAATGAGTCTAAATGCTGAATGCATCGTCGCTTCAACAAAATCGCCAACAGTGAGGGCTATTGGGCAATGGTAAAAAAAAGAAATCTCTTAGAAAAAGTATTGCGAATTAATCTTCCTCATCCAATAAAAGAGCAAAGCATCGATTTTTCAATTTAACATTTCGATTAGAAACCCGCTGGGATAGCTCGCCTTTTGAATAATCTTAAGTAACTCGAGACCTAAATAGCAATGTTTATGTTACGCAATAACTAATGAGAGGTTGGCCACATGGACGGCAAGAAATATGGGTTCAATAATGCATGTGAAGAATTCAGCGTATGGTATTTATGGAGTAATACGATTCACAAGAGACTAACCATCGGGTTTCTTCTCGTTATGGAGTGGTACTTTGTAGGACAACTATTCTTAGCAATGGAGGCAAGCGCATACATCTGATATTACTGCGTAATGTACCGGAAGTCTAGATACCCAAAATTGAAATTGAGCTTCTTCGTAGTTCGAGCCGAGTTTAATGAGGCAGCCCTAAATACGTCGGCCAGCAAACAGAGAGTAGAAAGGACCATTTCAGCTAGACAGGTCGTCACAGCAATACTTTGAAACACTGTGGGCAATACAGTTTTATTACAACAACGCTGTCCAAAATAATTGAGCTGTGGCAATAAAGTAAGCGAACATACACGTATGTGCTTGTGTAAATGCGTGTGTATGCGTTGCCAATCATCATATGTTCATGGCTAATAAATTGCTGGCTAACAAATTGGTCTTTTATTTGCCAAAGGAGTTAAGTTCAGAGGTGAATAACAACAAGCAAAGTTAACTCTTTAAAGAAACTATAACTGTAATCGATTAGTACGCTTTCTACTACTAAAGAATTAGCGTGCAAAATTAGTCAAAATAACAACAACAATAACAGTAATGTAGCTGTAGGTGTACTTTCACTTTTTCCTACCAATAGCATTGAAAATGAACGAACCGAGTTTAATAACCAATTAACCTACACACATACATACACCGACTTTATTACGTGTTTCTTCAACAATGAATCAAATCCCTAAGAAAAACGGGGTCACGGCATTTAGAATAAATATATATGCATAACGGGGCTCTGAGAACAACACCAACAGCGACTCTTGAACTGGCACTAAACCTGCCACCCATGGTTCAAAGTAGACATAGAAAAAGATGGCTGGCGTAAAGGTATGTTAGCTACTCGCAACAATCTAAAAATCAATACTGATGGCTCGAAAATGAAGTTGGTGCGGGAATATACTGTCCAGAGTTAGACATAAGGCAACCTTTTAAGTTACCGGACCACTGCAGTATATTTCAGGCTAAGCTCTGTGCTATTGCGAAAGCAGCGGAGGCGGCCTCTCATGCACCTACAAGCAATTCCAGAGTCAACATCTACGTAGACAGCCAAGCAGCTGTCAAGGCTGTAGCCTCGTCATATCGGACAATGAAATAATTACGAGATTGCCAAAAACCCCTGGTATATGCATATATATTTACTTGAGGTCAAAATAAGACATTTTGTGAAACTCGATCAAATTCAACCAAATCTGGTATGTACTGACCTCGAGATGCCTGACCTTTTACATACGAGTATAATACATTATGGTTATAATTGACACTGACGATTAAGCGACTACTCCGGAAGGAGTGGTGTAACGCAATCAACAACAACAACTACCAAATAGTTTAAGTAAACAGTTGTTTTCTCTCACACTTGGAAAGAACGCTTGTATACTTGACTTGGTGTGGAATCGTTTTTCATCGTAGCCCGAGAAGTTTGCGAGTGTGTCGTTTATTTAAATTAATCGTAAAATGGAGTTGCCAATTAATAGCTGACATCTGATTGTCGATTGACATATGGTATGTATGCGACTTGACGGCAGTTAGCAGAGACAATGAGATCCCCAACTCCTCTCTCACWKSMAGTGAGAGAGCAATTGCTAAACGTCAAAACCTACCGAACTTTGACAGTTGACTGGATTGAGTAGGTTTTGACGTTTTGCAATTGGAACGACTGGAACGGCCAGATTGAAATTATASCAAAAATATATGTGAACGGAGGAATTTATTGCCGCCGTTCAAGATCGCTAATAAAAATTTAATACAATGAAAATCAAAGAAATGCAAAATTTAAATATATATCATGAAACGTTTTGTAATGTGATGCATAATAGAATTATATTTCTATTACAAATGATTAAAAACATTTTATAATTGAGAACTAACAGACTCTTTCCCTGAATAGGGTTGTGCGTAAGCGGTATCTACGCCAATTAAGAAGAAGAAGAAGAACAGACTTAATTCACATTATTAAGTATTGAAATATCGAAAGTCAGTTGTTTTAATATACCATAAAATCATAAAAAAAGGAATTAAGTAGTTTAGCCGTATATTAAAAGTCCAATATATAAAAATTTGCAATCGTAATAAAAGTTGGGTATTTTAATTTGAAATGTCCAAAAATTCTTATTTGGTGCGATCTGGCCATAATGGAAAATCTTATAAAAAACGCTTGTTTCGAGGCGCTCTCACACTGGAATAAGTTGGGTATATCATTATCCCTGGCAGTTAGTCACTAGTAATGAGTTCATTAGTCATTTTATTTCAGTTTGTATGGAATCGTAATTTCGTTTTCTGTTGTTTCATTTATTTATTCCCTTAATTAAATTTTAGAATGCCTTGATTTTTTTAACGTTTTTACGAAGAACCTTTTCAGGCAAACCCTGCGAGGTTCTCTAGCAAAGAACTGGTTTCAAACGACTCTTGCCTCTTGTTGACTTAAATTTCAACTGCGATAGGAATAATCGAATCGGGTTCCTTGCTTCGTTTAGGGGCTAGCAGAGAAATTAATCGGGTTATTATACTATAGCACGTGGTATTTTGCTCCATTAAATATAACTGAATTCACTATTTTAGGCTTTTCACAAAAGATACGACCCTTGTAGCCGCATAATAACAATATATTGCCGAAAACCGAAATGCTTTTCAATGATTAATTGTAAATAAAAAAACTAATGAGCGATCTTAATGAACGCAAAAAAGAGAAATTCCTAATCATAAACTTGATGAATAAATAGATCTGTGCGGTTCGTGCAACATCCCATCGGACACTTTTAATGAAGGCGCGTTATAAAAGAAAACGATTTGTTCAAGGTTTGACTTGTCGAATCACTAATGGCCAAGCCAAGACGGCAACAAGTAATAAAACGATCGATATCGACCACATGGGTGCAGCAATCGGAGACGGCTGAACGCAGACCCCATTTGTATGATGCAATGCCATCGTCGGCCGCTGTAATCATCAACAGTGATCGCATTTCGCATCTAATGATGATGAGCAGTCAAAAGCCCTCTTTTGCTCAGCGATTATGGGAATTAAAGAGGTTAACAATGCGTAATTGCAATGTGTAGGAAGGAGGAGGGTTTGCGAAGCTCGCGAACAAACGAAGCCGCTCGAAATGCTTTTAGCCGAAACAACTGACGTCGGAGTGAAGAAGCACTCCTGCAGAGTTTCCCCATGACAAACTTGGTAGAATCTGCGCATCCAACAAACGAACTACACTTCGAATTAAGCATTTGGTCATCCCGGTAACAGGTCTTTGTAGGAACGGATTAATTCTTCGGAAGATATCATCTCACTCACATATTAACAGCTCTCGATTTTGCTCTAATGTTCAACTCCTTTTAATTATTTCGAAATTATGATCATAAGCGTTTTCGTTATTGTTGTTGTTGCTGGTGCAATATGCTCTTAGTGGCATGCCTCATTTCGTTAGACATTTTCGAATAAATTACAAATTCACTCCTCAACTGACACGTTCAATAGCCACTGTCGTCGCAGCACTTCAGCAGCAATGGAGCTTCACTCAAAGAGGTTATTGCTTCCTCAAATAAAAGTGAAAAATAATGAAATTCAAAACAAAGTAAATGCCAAAGTCTCAATTAAAGTTGCTTGCACAATGTAGAGCGCCTTGGGAACCGTTTTTTCTCTAGCGCGAATGCGTGCGCATGTGGTTGTTGCAAGTACAATATGTTGTTGCAATTGATGGAAATCGGAAATCACTGAATGTGCTCGCATTCGTTTACGTTGGTTTCGTACAGTTTACTTCTTCTTTTGACATGCTGAAATAATTTACCGATTTTCGATTGAACGAATTTGGAACGTGAATTACGTAAGCTTGACTTGGTTGATATAATGCGATGCCAAACTCGTTTGTGCATCTCGAACTCGAAATCGAACAGGAAACTCTTTGACTGACATTGAATTCGTTCCCTATTGCCTGGTCGGTTTGAGAGGTGAGAGCATAGTTGTACACATGGCGATCGAGAGTTCAGTAGACGAACTGGATTGGCAGTTCCACTTAGACTTGAAATTGATCTGCCTCCAAAAAATTTTCTTCAAATGCACTTTGTTACCTATTTTATCACCCCTCTACCGAATCCGGTTGATTGCCGCTTTTAG